CAGCAGGCCTCGAAATGGCGACAGTTTCACAGATCGCAGCCCCCCAGGGATGGCGAGGTCCAATTTGAATCTGCCGTGGGTCACTGTGCTGGGCCCCCCAGCAGGCCTCGAAAGTGGCGACAGTTTCACAGATCGCAGCCCCCCAGGGATGGCGAGGTCTAATTTGAATCCGCCCGTGGCGTCACTGTGCTGGGCCCCCCAGCAGGCCTCGAAAGTGGCGACAGTTTCACAGATCGCAGCCCCCCAGGGATGGCGAGGTCTAATTTGGGTCCGCCCGTGGCGTCACTGTGCTGGGCCCCCCAGCAGGCCTCGAAAGTGGCGACAGTTTCACAGATCGCAGCCCCCCAGGGATGGCGAGGTCTAATTTGAGTCCGCCGTGGTACCCACTGTGCTGGGCCCCCCAGCAGGCCTCGAAAGTGGCGACAGTTTCACAGATCGCAGCCCCCCAGGGATGGCGAGGTCCAATTTGAGTCCGCGGTGGGTACCCACTGTGCTGGGCCCCCCAGCAGGCCTCGAAAGTGGCGACAGTTTCACAGATCGCAGCCCCCCAGGGATGGCGAGGTCAATTTGAGTCCGCCGTGGGTACCCACTGTGCTGGGCCCCCCAGCAGGCCTCGAAAGTGGCGACAGTTTCACAGATCGCAGCCCCCCAGCTGGCACGCAGCGACGAGCGAAGGCAGGGGGGAAGAGAGGGACGGCGGGGGTGGCAAGGTTCGCGCGAGCAGTGCTCTATTCAAAACGAGAACCCAACGCAGGAGGGTTGGGAACTTCGGAACTGTATACATGGAGGTACGCTTGCACCTTGGCATATGGGGGTCTTCAATCGCTGGCCCCCTCCAAATGGCAATCTACACCATGCCCGTCCTGACTACCCGATCGGCCGCCCCTTGGACACAGGGGTTCCACGACACATGGGCGCAGTCCCGATGGCGGTCATTCCCCAGCTACTGGCTTCAGAATGGTGGAACGGAAATGCGGTCGAACCTCGCGCCTCCGGCCGACTGGAAGATCACTGGCTTCCCCGCGCCCTTCAATGAGCCCGGGCCCTGCCATCCGATGTATTCTTCGTGTGCCCCAGGCCCCCGTACCCCGGCCATCCGCGCCGAGCCCCTTCCCTCACCTGGCGATAGTCATGGACGCCCAGCGGCCGCGAGAACGGCCCGCGGAGAGCCCCGGCGCGCCCTGGCCAACATCTCGGCCGGCGCCAGTGCCCGACCCTGGACCCTCCCACGCGACCCGAATGCCGGACGGAGAGGGGGAGGGGGGGAACGTTACTTTTCCCTTGCCTGGTACCCCCTTGAATTCCCGACGAATCTATCCAGCAGCTCCTGTACCTAAACTCCTGGATACGCAATTCCACGATTTGGGATAGATCATGCCTGACCGATCCATGCGTGACACTGTTCAGCACAAACTCCAGCAATAGCCCTGGGCTCGGTCCCCCCAGAAACGGAAACTTCTTTGAACCCCCGTCTCTGGACAGGGCAGGGGCAAGAGAAGGCAAGAGAGAGGGAGGGAAGGAGGGAGGGAGGGAGAGGGAAGGAGGGAGGGAGAAGACGAGGGAGAACAGCGTGCACAACAGCCCCCTCTGCCCTTCACACATCCAGCCAGGCCCAGCCAGTCGCCGAGCGGACAAAAACGCGGAGGATGGGCTGGCATCTCCCGAGTCACTTACCATCCGGCCGTCCGGGCCGATCGACGCAAGCTGTGGGGACCTCAATCTTTTTCCTGCGACCCCGCCTCCGCCCAACCCCCTGGTGCCCCCTTCGCCCAATGGAATTAAGACAAGCCCACAGGAGCACGAGCTTTCCCAACAGCGGCTGCACGACGGCGAAGGCCAGCGCCCGGCAGAAACCGTGACGCGCCCGAGCGGGTATTCCGTGACACATCCAAAGTGCGGCGCGGGCCTCTCCCCAGTCTCGCCCGCCCCCTTTTCCTCCGGACCGTCCACCCCGCGCACCCCATTTTCCCTACCCCGCACCGCCTCTCCTCTTGGCCCGCGCCTGGTCCTGAGAGTTTTCGTGGCAATTTCGTGCCAGTGTGCGGGTGCAACGTGGCAGTCGCAGTAAACACGGCAGAGCATGATCAACACACACACACATCCTCTCTTACCCCCCGCCTCCTGATTTCTCCCCCGGCCGTTCCCCCTTCGGGCCCCTCGCTCCCAATCCATGGTGGCACGACACGCTCTCGTGCAACTTGATGTAAATTTGTAAAGATCGGTAAAGTTGTCAAGTTCGGTAAAGCTGTAAAGTTAGGTAAAGCGGCCGCCGAAGGCGGTTCTCGGGCATTCGCGGGTCTTGCGAATAGAATGCCCACCTCCTCGCGAACGAGGAGGCACACACACAGACTTGTAAATGATGGAACGGGATGTCGTCGAACCACTGGTGCACTCCCCTCTCCCCTTCCCATGCCTGATCCAAGGCATACAAAACTATGTACATGGAGGTACGCTTGCACCTTGGCATATGGGGGTCTTCGTTGGCCAGCGCCCCATATGCCGATCGCTGGCCCCCTCCAAATGGCAATCTACACCATGCCCGTCCTGACTACCCGATCGGCCGCCCCTTGGACACAGGGGTTCCACGACACACACACACACACACACACACACACATACCAACGCACGCACTCACGCACGCACGCACGCACGCACACACACACACACACACACACACACACACACACACCACACACCACACACACACACACACACACACCACACGCACCACATACACACACCACACACACACACACAACACACACACACCACACACACGCACACACGCACACACACACACACACACCACACACACGCACAGCACGCACGCACGACGCACGCACGCACGCACACACACTCACACACACACACACACCACACACACAACACACACACACACACACACACGCGCTGCCGCACAGACACACGCAAGCGCACGCGGCACGGCGCACGCGCACCGCCGCACACACACACACACACACACACACACGCACGCCAGCACGCACGGCACGCAACGCACGCACGCACGCACACACACACACACACACACACACACACACACACATAGCACGCACACACGCACACACGCACGCACGCACGCAACGCACGCACGCAGCACGCACGCACGCACGCACGCACACGCCACACACACACACACCAAACACACACACACACACACACACACACACACACACACAAACACACACACACGCACACACACACACACACACACACACACGCGCACGCGCGCACGCGCGCACGCGCACGCGCGCGCGCGCACACACACACACACACAAACACACACACACACACACACACACACACACACACACACGCACACGCACGCATACACGCACGCACGCACGCACGCACGCACGCACGCACGCCCATCCTGAGTCCAGGATCGGCCTGGCCAGAACTGGTGCAGGTGCACAGTGGCTGCCCTCCGATCCTCGCCGAAGCTGAATTCGTACCCGTCCTCCTCGACGCCGTCCTCGGAGCTGGCCCTCGCCACCAGGGCGCAGGCCGCCAACCCGGCCAGGGCCGCCAGGAGCCGCCGTGCCGCCATGGCTGTCTGTGTTAGGTCACGAGTCGCCACGGCGCGGCTCCGAAAAAGGCTCTGCCAAAATGGCTGGAGCCCCAAAAAACTGCGGCACTCGTGGACAGGGGGACATGGCGCTGCCGTTCGAAGCTCCCGTCGAGAGCTAGCTGCTGGGAGGGGTCGTTGCAACAGGAAGAACCAAATATTATCCTGGCGAAGGACCCAACCATGTGCAATTGTGAATACCGGAGTTGTGTTGATTTCCTTCGGTGGAGCTCCCTAGCCACATGCGAACGCAGCCGCTGGGGCCTTCGGTGGGGCTCCCGATGGGGGCCACGAAACGTTTGAGGGGTGTGCCGAAATGGAGGGTGGAACCGCATGCGAACGCAGCCACTGGGGCCTTCGGCGGAGCTCCCCATGGGGCCGCGAAACGTGCGAGGGGTGTGCCGAAATGGAGGGTGGAACCGCATGCGAACGCAGCCACTGGGTCTTTTGGCGGAGCCCCCTGTGGGACCACGAAACGTGTGAGGGTTGTGCCGAAATGGGGGGTGGAACCGCATGCGAACGCTGCCATGGGGCCACGAAGCGTGTGAGGGGTGTGCCGATATGGCGGTGAAACCGCATGCAAACGCAGCCACTGGGGCCTTCGGCGGAGCTCCCTATGGGGCCACGAAACGATCGCATGCGAACGCAGCCACTGGAACCTTCGATGGAGCTCCCTATGGGGCCACGAAACGTGTGAGGGGTGTGCCGAAATGGAGGGTGGAACCGCATGCAAACGCAGCCACTGGGGCCTTCGGAGGAGCTCCCTATGGGGGCCACGAAACATGCGAGGGGTGTGCCGAAATGGAGGTGGAACCGCATGCGAACGCGGCCGCTGGGGCCTTTGGTGGAGCTCCCTATGGGGCCACGAAGCGTGTGAGGGGTGTGCCGATATGGCGGTGAAACCGCATGCAAACGCAGCCACTGGGGCCTTCGGCGGAGCTCCCTATGGGGCCGCGAAACGTGTGAGGGGTATGCCAAAATGGCGGTGGAACGGCTTGCGAACGCATCCATTAGGGCACCCGGTGGAGTTCACTGTAGGGCCACGAAATGTGCGAGGGGTGTGCCAGAATGGGGAGTGGAACTGCATGCGAACGCAGCCGCTGGGGCCTTCGGTGGAGCTCCCTATGGGGCCACGAAGCGTGTGAAAGGTGTGCCGATATGGCGGTGAAACCGCATGCGAACGCAGCCACTGGGGACTTCGATGGAGCCCGCTATGGGGCCACGAAACGTGCGAGGGGTGTGCCGAAATGGCGGTGGAACTGCATGCGAACGCAGCCGCTGGGGCCTTCGGCGGAGCTCCCTATGGGGCCACGAAACGTGTGAGGGGTGTGCCGAATGAGGGGTGGAACCGCATGCGAACGCAGCCACTGGGGCCTTCGATGGAGCCCGCTATGGGTCCACGAAACGTGTGAAAGGTGCGCCGAAATGGCGGTGCAACCGCTTGCGAACGCATTCATTAGGGCCTTCGGCGGACTTCCCTATAAGGTTACAAAACGTATACGAGGTGGGGGTGGGGTGGAGGGAGGAGCGGGAGGAGGGGGAGGAGGAGGACAGGAAGGCAGGAAGGAACGCGGGGCGCTCTCTTCAAAACGAGGACCCAACACCACAAGATGGTTGGGAACAGCGAAACATAAGCCGTCAGAGGTACACGCGGCACAACTCAGTGGGGCACAACTCAGTGGGGCAATGGCGCTGCCGGTCGAAGCCCCCGTCGAGCGGTGGCTGATGGGAGGGGCCATTACTAGAGAAAGAGCAACAAACATATACATAAACTGTGAGGCCCGCGCGGGACAGTTCAGGGCCATTGGCGATGCTGGTCGAAGCCCCGGTCGAGAGCTGGTTGCTGGGAGGGGGCCCTTACTAGAGGCAGAGCAAGAAACATAGACGTAAGCTGTCGGAGGCCCGCGCGGTACAATTCAGTGGGCCAATGGCGCTGCCGCTCGAAGCTCGCATCGAGAGCTGGTTGCTGGGAGGGGCCCCTGCTAGAGGAAGAACGAAAAACATGTACATTAGCTGTCGGAGCCCGCGCGGATTTCTTGGATCGGCGCTGGATCCCCCTGGCAGCGCCACCGGCGCCTCTCCTGGCGTGCTCCACGCGCCAGGCAGGGGCGTCCAGCGCCGATTCAAGAAAATCGGTGCGGGCCTTCGAAAAATTAATGTCTATGCCCCTTGCTCTTCTTCGCCTTGCTCTCCCAGGCTGACGATCAGGCCATGTCAACGGTCACGAGCGGCGAATGTATCCGTATCCACGCCCTCGCAGTCTGGATTCTGGGGCGCGGTCCCGAGGATACGCGGTCGCACGGACACGTTCCGCACGGGGCATCCGCGAACAATCGCCCAACATCCGCGGGGTCGCGGCCCATGGGCCCGGCCCGCGAGGCCGCGGATACGGACATGTTCTTCGCCCGCGAAGAGGCCACGAGATGACTTGACGGGGCAGTGCAGCGGCGGTGGGCGGCCGAAGCCCTCGCCGAGCGCCAGTTGCTGGGAAGGGACCTTTGCCCTCCGGGCGCCAGGGTCGACAAAGCCAGGGCGAACACGGCGGGTTCGTGACGACCCCAGCGTTGGTTTCTGGCATCGCGCGGATCGTTCGACCTTGAACGATCGGCGGCCCTTCGATCGCCAGATCGCGCCCGCGGCAACGCTTCTCGGAACTTGCGTATCAAATCCTGGGAGGTCCAGACGTACTCACCAGAGTACGTCTGCGGTGCTCGCCCTGGCCGAGGCCGCTTAACGAACGGCAGAATCTGGCACCCTATCCGCTCCTCTGGACTGGAAGAGTTCGAAAGCTGTGCTCCCCTTCTGTCCTCGGGGAAGACACCGGTTACCCATTGAGATGTGGAAATAGCCGTTCTCTGCTCACCAAGGTCAATCACAATCGAATCGGGAAATCGGATCAAATCGGAATGTGCGTCGCATCGGGCTGCATCGGCACGGAGTCGAAATCGAATCGGATCGGCTGCGCCAAGACGCACGAAAGCGCCATGCAAGCATTGGGCCGCACGGGATCGCTGGAAGATCGGAACCGAATCGGCTGGAGCCGCCCAGAATCGACCGATCGAAGCGGCCCGATCGGATCGCAATTGGCCCCGCCCACGCGGGCCAGGCTGCGCCTGGCTGGGGGGCGGCAGGAATGCCGGCGCCGGCAGTGGCGGCGCTGGCGCTGCGGGAGGCTGCGGCAGCGCTGGCGTTGCCGGCATGAACGCCGCCGCTGGAGCCGGCGCAGCGCCGCCAGCACTCGGAGCGGCAAAGCGTATCATTACGATGCACATCTACGTGCGCAGATCTACATATTCCCCAATCAGAGCTTGCCTCTGTAGGGGTCCTAGCGGATTAAAGGGTTAGGTGAGGTTGGTCGCCGATTTCGGTGGCCGGGCCCGGGTGCCCGGGTGCCCCCTTCGGGGACGGGGTTCCCCTCTCCCTTTGCCCCCTCCCCTGGACCTGGAGGGGGCGTTCCCTGAGGGGTTGGAGCGTCCAAGATGACCCAAGATAACGCCAAGAGGGTTTCATAGAACCCATGATGACCTCCAAGATGGCTCAAGATGGCCTGAGATGGCTCAGGATGGTTTTCAAGATGCTCTCTGGCCAATTCACAAGAAAAATATAAAGAAACAGGTCATGGGAGCCGCCCGGGAGCCGCTTCACTCAAAAAGAATCAAAGACAAAGGGCCATTGAACCCGGGGCTGCGGCTGCCACCCCCCTCGAACTCCCCCTTGTTAATTCCTTCCAACTAACGGACCGCACGCTACGCGCGCTTTCTGTCACCCAGGGCCTGCGGATGCCACCCCCTCTGCACTCCCCTAGTTCAATTGCTTGTTGCGTCACAGCTCGTTATTCGGAGCCTCGCTGGTAAGCGCGTGTTACGTCACCGCTCTCTGTTGGGAGCCTTGCTGGGGACAGCTTGTTGCGTCAC